TAAGAAAGAACCTTTAAATTTAAATTTCAGTTCATTTTTTTAATATATACATAACATACTTATTATATTTATAGGTGGATAAATACAATGTTACTTTTTTCGATAATATGAATAATAATAACAATAATAATAATATAAATAGGAGATATTTATACTGTTAATAAAAAAGATAATTGGAAAATACACCCTATTAATATACTATTTTATAATATACGTTAACTTGAATAACTGCTTTTTATTCGATTGTAATTATTCTTTCATTAAACTATTATTAATAATTACTAGGTAGATAATGTTCAGTTAGTTAGTTAGTTAGCTAAAAACAGCTTAATAATTACATGCTTTATATGTATGTATATAATACTCGTTGAAATATTATATTTTAGCATATATACATAGAGACAGAGGGGGGGAGGGAGACAAATAAATAAAAGAACATTTTAGGGTTGTTATTCCTAGTAGCTGCACTTCAAAATAGTACATCCTAAAAGGATGATAATGAAATGGATTAAGGGTAGGGGTATTGTGATCAACGAAGACTAGTTAATCATGAGTCACACACACACGCATACACTACCCAGTTGCCTAGGTCCGGTCTAAGTAGTAGGCGGAGCGGGATTTGAACCAGGGACCTATTGGGGATGTGTTTTATCTCTTATGATAAGCGGTATAATAACAGCCTGACTGTGACGGCTGCTACCTTGACATACATGGTAGTCGTCAGGCTTGCATATTGCAACTATCCAACAAGCTACACTGGTTGGAAATAATGTTCCTCCTGTAGGTCCTACTATGCTAGGATGATTGTTAGGATGGTGATTAGACTAAAAGCAGTTGCCAGTATACTGTGAGACACTTTGTTGTTACACTATGCTGGGGTCTGTGGGTTAAGTAGTACTGCTGGGGAACAGGGGTGAGAACAGCAGTAAAGTGTTTCTCACAGATGAACAGCATGCCAGCCAGCTATGCTGTCTCTTCACTCTGGAGAGAGGGGTTTAGATAAGGTCGACCCCAACAACTGTACATCCCGACTTACCCTACGGTGGTCCGTAGCCGGCGGTAAGCTACTAATAAGGAACCAAAACAAAAAGCCAGTTCATCAGTTAGGCCATGTGTGACCTGCCAGCATCAAGCAGTTGTCCCTTGGGCTCTGCGGTCACACAACACTAATTCTCTTTCTGTTTCAAGTATCCCAAGAAAAAAATCAACTGCTACGGTGTCGGCAGCCGGGAAGTAACAACCGACTCCACACGCTTGGAAAAGCACACGAAGTCAGGTATATAACAGGGTGGGTGATATTGAGGTCCGGCTTCGGTCGAATGTTAGGTAAGGAAGGAAGGTCAATCGATGAGGTTGTGAAGTTACATCGATTAAGGTAGTTAGGACACGTGTTTCGCACGCCAAAGCCATTGCCTTCCTCGACGAGCAATCTTAGCAGGAGTAGGATGAGGTTAGAAAAGAGCTGCTGGTGGTAGTCAACCGAAAACTTGGAGTTAATCCATAAAACCTTTGACAATTAGTTTCAGCTAGCCACTTAAGGAGGCGTAGACTGGCTGACTTCCTGGTTGGGCTCCTCGGGATGCTAAGAACCAATGGTGGCTGGAGACAACTGGTGATAGGGCTAAAACTCGTTCTCAATAATGACTAGTGCAGATACATTCACTCTTTGTAATTTTCATATCAATTAAATTCTACAGTCTTTTCATAATCCAGCAGATCGTGAATGAACAATTCGTTGAACACTTCATAATAGACCAATGTTGTTACGTTAAACTATGCATAAAGAGTATTATCAACTGAGTGACTTTCAAAATAGGACTTTGCACAGAAGTGTACCAGCAGTTCAATTCACCACACTCCATGTAGCTCACAAAGGCAAAAAAGGAAAGGAATTATAATATTTATGCAGAAATGTACAGCAGAAAGAATAATTACATGGAAAATAAATTGTAACAGAAAGACGGTTTGAAAAATCCCTCCCGGGCAAACAACATCTAATCACTACATTTATACTTATTTGGATGTTTCAACTAACTTTGTAAAATATTTTTATTGTTGTTTCCTTTAGTTCCTGGAGGAACATAATGTTTCAGCAGCACGTCTCCATTGCGTTCGATTCTCTGCAAACGTTTTCACCTGGCTCCGTGTCTGTCTCTTCGCATGACCTCCTCCATGTCACTCTCGCACTGACGACCAACTCGCCTCTTCCTACTCGCTTTCCACTAAAGTGACAGCCTGGTGTTTAATGTCACTTGATGGTTTGTTTTCTCAGAGTATGGCCAGCCAACCCATCTCCATTTCTTCCTGCATATTTGTTGCACAATTGGTTCCTGCTGGGTTGGTTCGCCCCCAGAGATCACTCACTATTGCTGATCTTGAGTATTGAGCGAAGAAAGCTGTTGATGAAAGTGTGTAGTTTGTTCGAAATACCCTTCGTGACACGCCAAGTCTCTGGTCCGTATAGTAGTACCGACTTCACATTGGAGTTGAAAACACGGATCTTACTTTTCATGCTGATCCCCATACAGATGTGAGAGTAATGAAAGTTTGTCTTGCTTTCCCGATTATCCTCGCTTTGATATCCTCATCAGTTCTACCTGTAGTTGAAATGATGCTTTCCAGGTGTGTAAAGGAGATTGCTTCTTTCAGATTTCTACTAGACTGTCCTCCCACCCACCCCCATCCCCCGATGTGTGATCTCTAATTTTAACATACTTGTCTTTTTGGTTGTGCGGTGATACAATGATAATGTGTGGCTTTGCGATGCTATTTTGGACTGTCTAGCTGGAAGTGTTGATGTGTGTGATTCTTATGAGTAGAGTTTTTGATCCCACCACTTTGGGAATATTCTACTTGACTGTGTAAGGTACTTCTTCTTACAGTTGAATTTTCGTCAACTAATTTTGTTCTACAGTACCTGTTTTGTACTTAGTATATTAGTTGGACTGTATAGCTGCGTAACAGGATTATTGAGCTGATTTTTAGTCTTTGACGTTATCACTGTTGAATAGAACTACAGATTTATCAGAGAACAGTCGTCCCTTGGTTGTCTTTGGAGGATTTTATGACTGTGCATCTCTCAAGGAAGTCTTATCAGCTATACAGCAGAATGCAATGGTCGGTTCTATGTGTCCACACCACAACGAATCGGTTTTGGTCAGTATAAACAATAACGACAACACTTAACGGATCTTTGAGATCACAAAGGGTGAATACATATGCGGTACTGATATGTAAACCAATAAACAATGGACAATCCTTTTTTGGGTGATATGGTGATCAAGGTCAGTCTCGAAATAAACCATAAATGGTTTTATATATCCCTTCATATTCAAGTGTTGGTTTGCAGGGAATTTGATTCGATTGATTTCAGGATTTCATCATGAACTGACATCGGTTAGAGGACCATTTGAAAGCCAGCAGTGGAGTACTGGGATAGATGTTTCGTCCTAGTTTGGGACTCTTCATCAGTACGCACCCACTGTGGTTCGCCTTGTAACCAAAAGGTCCTGGGCCCGAACCTCGGCGGTGGGTGTGTACTGATGAACAGTCCCAAGCACTAGGACGAAACAGCTGTCCAGTACTCCCTGGTGGTTTTCCAAAGGTCCTCTAACCGATGTCAGTTCATGATGAAATCCTGATATCTTTTAATAGTTGTCGTCTCTCACTTATAAGTAATTGGTCAGGTATGTATCCTTTCATGAATATATATATATATATAATATATATATTCAATGTCTTTTTGTAAATATACTGATTCGGATACTGCCAAATACACTTTGTTATCTTGCATCGTTGCGCGTTATCGCTTAAGTAGCGGGTAGTAGGAGATCAGGTACCTATTGTATACGATGATGGAGTAGCCTAGTGATATTGTCCTGATCACCGGCGTCTGTGTCTGTGTTCAGCGTTCCTATTCAACTCAACGTATTGCAAAGATAAAAGCGGTGACATCATATAACTAACAGCCACCGAAAACCAATTTGAATTATATATCACCAACACTCTCCAGTTATTGGTTGTTAACATCTCGAGGAGCATAAACCAAGCGACCTACAACGCCTCCCTACATGGCTGGCTCAAACTAACACTTAAAGACTGCATGGAGTGATTGATATCAGGTTAAAGGATAGGAGAATCTCCATATATCATCAAATACATCTATAATACTGATAACCAGACAATTCTAGATAGGACACTATCTGTTGTCATTAAATTCAACTGATAAATGACTGTAGCCCTTAAACATATATGCTGTCAGGGAATATTTATTACTATTATTATTACAATAAGAGAAGACCTCTTTGCTTCGTACACTGTCTATATAATCAGATAATTTTCAGGATTTCATCATGAGCTGACATTGGTTAGAGAACCATTGGAAAACCTGTAAGGAGTACTGGACAGCCATTTCGTCCTAGTTTGGGACTCTTCATCGGTACGCACCCACTGGGATTCGAACCCAGGGCCTTCAGGTTGCAAGGCGAGATCGTAGACCATTGGAGCCACTGGGACCCGATCCAATCGCCCATAAATTCTAACTTTTGCCAATTCACGACATAGCGCGTCCCAAACTAGGACGAAACAGCTGTCCAGTACTCCTTGCAGGTTTTCCAATGGTTCTCTAACCAATGTCAGTTCATGATGAAATCCTGTAACCAATCAATTAAATCCCTACAGACCAATACTTGAATATAGATAATTTTCAATAAAAAAATCTATACTTTTACATTATGATTTACGATAAAGGTTGGATTTGGAGAAATAATTCAGTCATCAAAAGAACATTTGACAAAATTTGATAAGGGATATATGTATATACATATATATTATAAGATACATAAATTTGGCTCCGCTTTAATCTATACAAAAATAAACAAGTCTCTAGTATATGACGTGCATGAGTTATATCAGTAAGTGAACTTCTAGACTGATAAATAAGAGCACAATTGAAGTGAATATACAGAAAACGGATGTATAATAAAAGCACGTATACTTACTTTATTTCCTTCTCTGCCTGAGTCCGGAGCAATTGACTGAGTAGGTGAACTAACAGAAACCTCTTCTCTTACAAAACCTTCATTATTTTTCGATAAATCTGTAAAACACCGGAAAGCAAAATATAACGCGAAAGATAAATATCTAAGTTTTGTCTAAATGTCTGCAATAAAAAGAAAGTCAGTATTAATTTCTAACTTAATATCAAACCGAAATAATAACCAGCAATTATATGCAAGCTTTGTGTCTATGTGGAAACACCGGCTCGGTGGCTTGGACATGTGCTGCGAATGTCATCCCAGAGGCTTTCATACAGGTCTCTGTTCGCTAGCCCTGGGACGGGATGGAGGGGTGGTCAGTCCATGACGTGGCGTCGTGGGATGAAGGATATTTGTGCTAGATTAGCATCGGTTGGTGCGTCACGACTCCCTGGTTAGGGTCCGCGAGATAGCCCGAATCGATGGCTCGAAACGTTATCGGATATGGCCAAGAATCGTAATCAATGGCGAACGTGCTGCAATTTCCTTCTTTCTTCCCTTCCCGATGATAGCTGACAAAAAATACTGTTTGAACTTGTTAAGTATGACTGTTTTCCTTCCAGATGAAGTTCTTCACCCGTTCTCTACTTATATTTTTTACTTTTGATCTATGTTGTTTTATTATTATTGTGTGGAGCATCTTTCTTGGTGCCATAGTGTACCAAGTTTTTCTCTGAGTTTAAATAAATAAATAAAATAATTTGTGTCTATGTTCAACTCATTGTATAGAGATGCAAGAGATACAAGGAGGCTGTTCAACTTTCGGTAAACAGAACGAGTGCCCAGCTCATATTCTTTTAGCTAAAAGTCGGTATGGGTGAGTTAGGCTTCGGTTGAATGTTAAGGTAAGGAAGAAAATTCAATCGATGGATGAGGTTGTGTAGGTGAACTGATTGAGATGGATGGCGCTAAGACAGGAAATGTTAGCTGACATAGGGATTAGGTTGTAAAACAGCTAGTGGGTGGTCGGTCGGTCAAACCAAAACTTGACTGTTTTGGTTGAAGTCCTCAGGATCCTATGGTTCAAAATTACTCTTAATGGTGCAAAGGCATTCAGCCTTTGTAATCTCTCATATCCAATACACGCTCATGCGTCTTTTCATGTTATTATTATTATTATTCCTTTCACCTTCATATTTCTGCTTATTATCGTTCTTTTCAATGTCTTCCTTTGTGTGGTGTGTTACATGCAGGAGTGTGGTTACTTGAACTGTTGTTGGCGCACTTCTATACAAAGTTCTATACTGGAATCAGTTAGTCAGGAACTACACAAACATGCTGAAGAGTCGTTGAAATTTTCAGTTAAATGTGTACTGAACTCACAATATCAGTAAAGCGGGGGGAGGGGTGGTTTAAAAGGTTATTTCTCTTATTAATGTTATTAATAAGGATCACAACATAAGATATGAATAAATAACAATTTGACCAAAAACAGCCTATCTGAATGAAATGTACTTTATATTGTTGGTATTTGCCTAAAAGTTTGACTTAGATTTGATAAGAGTCTACATGGTCACATCACTTGACTTGTTTCTGTGGTTGTTCGCCATGTATCCCGCGTCTGAAAGGGATCAAGAACACTATCCCGCATGGTTGTATATAAGGAGTTAGATAATTATTGAACACCTTGTCAATACTGGCTACTCTATCTCAGCACACTCCCTCCGCCTCAAAGTCCACTACAAAGTAGAAGAACAACCCAGTATCTTTTGAATTGCTAAAGCCATAGTCATTCAGATACAGAAATCAGAGATCCGTATGCGAAAGAGAATTATCAACCACTTCTACTATCATGACAATAACCCTGTTGTTGTTTTTTACTTTTGAACTCTGTTCTCTATTTTTTTAAAAACTATTCCGTAATATCCCATTTTCCCTGATTTCTAGTCACCTCAGTTAGGTAACTCCCTAACGCTTTGATTGGACACTAGATAAAAAGTAACTAGTGTCATGAGTCTAGTCCTTGGTGTTGGTGCAGGCAAGCTAAGTGGCTGCTTGCCATCCCGGTACACTTTGAATTGTTGTTATTAGATGGTTGGAGGTAGCCGGCAGGAATCTCTCTCTCTCTACTCTACTTCGGCTATCTCCTACGGAAGGATGAGCCGGCTTCATGAACATCTCGAATCATCGCTGCCCAGGCGCGGCGATCTGATGAAGAGAGTTCATGAAGTTTCATGGGAATTTGGTACGAGTGATGTCCCCAGAATCGCTCGGCCTTTTGTTTGACAGTGCAGCTCTGGCCTTTACACAACCAAGTGTGGCCTACAAGGCAGTAGGAGTGGAGTAGGGAGTCCACTATCCATTGGAAGCCGGTGACCGGAGTTCGGTTCATACGCCTTTTTCAATGGGGCCAGACATCCAGGACATCCAACAAGCCTTTTGTCCATACGTCTGGCGGTGAGCTCCAGTGAGCTTCATACGCCAATCGTTGGAGGTTTGGAATCAGGGTTTAGCCATCTCCCCTAGACTGCCACCCAATGGACAGTCAACCCGGTGAAGAGCGCCGGGCATCCGCTTTCGCCCTCTCACTTTGGTGAAGAAACACCTGTGCCACGTGAAGGCAGTGAGTAGGACTTCCTCAGGAGAGGCTATGTAAGACGCCCGGTCATATGGGAGCATTTCAAGAGGTGTGCGGAGGGGTGGCCAACCCGCAGCGCAAGGCACCCACCCCCGACCATTCTGAGGCTTTGGAGGCCGGCAGGAAGCCCTACCTGACCGACCTAGGTTTTATGTCTGTTAACACTCGCCAGTCAGCAAGGTGTCTCCGCAATCTTGACGCATGACACTAGTTCCTTACCACCTAGTATCCTATCAATATCTATCCAATACATTCCCTATAGGGGATCAACTATGAGTGCAAATGGCTAAATTGTAGCGTTTCTGACTGCAGCATTGGGTGACGCGGGATTGAAACCCACAAAAGACAAGAGTCCCTTCAAGATTACAGATATGTCTTACTGACTGATGAGTGCCAAGAAGCACGAAACCTAGGTCAGGTAGGGCTTCACGACGATTGCCTCCGACCAACTAATAATAACTCTAACATACACTGAATTCCTGTTGTGTTCATTAGTAACTCGTTATGTCTGTCACTATCCTCTTTTGGGAAGAAAATTATATATAAGTGCTATTGTACAGCTAAAGAAAATGAATTAGCCGAAAAAAGAATCTTTACACAACTACTACTTCATTTGTTCTGTCTTTAAAAAGTCAATAATGTTTCCGAAAGTCTATATCTACATATATTATTAAATCTGGGATATTATTATTATTATTGTTCCCTTGGGTTTCGAGTGGAAAATAGGGCTTTAACAGCACGTCTCCACTTTGTTCTACTGTATGCCGTCTTCTTTAGCTAGCTGGACCCACGATTGGCTATAATCTCTTATCTCCTCCACCTCCTCACCACTATACGATCTCCTCCATGTCACTCTCACACCGATGACCCATTCGTCGTTCCCCACTCGAGAGATGTCATTTGACGGTCTCCTCAACCTATGCCTGATTCATCTATCTCCATTTTCTCCTATATATTTCTTAAGTGATATGTTCTGGTTAGTTTATTCCCATAGTTTCTTGTCATTAATCCTCTTTCCTAGCCGGTCATTTGATCTTAAATATGGAGCCAGCGAAGGCAGCTGCAGTAGCCTGTTAGAAATGCTTTTTATGAAGGGGGCACCAGGTTTCTGACCCATATAGAATAACTCACTTAATATCTGAATTAATACTAAGAATTATTAATACAATCAACAGATACAAAAATGTACACGAAAAAATAAAAGTTGGAGATATGCATACCTTTTAAATCTGATGAATAATATTCATTACATGTACCGGTAACTGGTGATGAAGGCAACTGATAAACTGGACTGGTTTTAAAATATGGTGATAGATGATTATCGTTATTATTATTATTAGTAGTAGTAGTAGGAGTAGTATTCACAGGAGATAAATGACTCTTCGCTGAGACAACATTATATCCTTCTCTGTGTGCATAACAACTAGGAACAGACGATGGTCTAGTACAATGAGATTGTGAAGCAGCAATAGTAGCCATTTTTCCAGGGGAAAGATATAAATTCGCTGAAACAGATGATGGGTATACATTCACATTTGTACTGTGTTGATGAGGTTCACTAGGCGTGATCATAATTATCGAGTTAGAAAGCGTAACACAATCCACTCGGTCTTTTTTAATACCAGAATCAATGGTTTCAGGATAGTGTACATATCTAATAAAATAAAATATTTTCAAAAAATAGAGGAGAGGAATATATACATATACCAACAACAGTAGAAAACTGTCGCATAAGAATTATAGTAGTAAATTAACTATACTATTATTCTAAACGAAATCTAAATCAAAGGCACATGATGTTGACTTGTCAAATTCTTTTTTGAAAAATATTTCAATAAAAAATTTTACAAAATTCAGCGCTGCTATCCATGCAACACAAAAAGTGATGATAAAACGCATTGATGAAAAAAGAAAAACAGAATGAATGAAAATTCCAACTGACTAACTCTCACTTTCTCTCTCACACTCAGAAAGCAAGCTGTTGTGTGTGTGTGTGTGTGTTGTCACTGATTAAAGCACAAACTTGGCGCAAAATCGTCATCAAGAGATGCGCGTACAAAATCTCATAGTTTGTGCAAAGGTTAGGATACTGCCCGGAAGCCAAGATCAAAGCAGGTGGTTGTCTTAATAGGCCATAACACAAGCCTTTGACTTGAATTCTTATCTATATGACAGTGGAGCAGCGTTCCTGCGATTTCCAGTGACTAAATCAGTTTCAATACACTACTCCACTCGTTTAGATTTTGGAGCTCATGTACATCATAAGTTTGCAGTTAAGGTTCTCCAGCTCCTCTAAGTAGGCCAGCATACCCAACAGTCTGGGTTGTTAGCACCAAGCAATCGTATTAGCCCTTTCACTTCCATGAGAGACGACCACGACGCGCCACGTTAATGCAGTGAACAGGACTTACCCGGCGGTAACTATGATCCCATGGCCATATGAGAGCATTTCAAGAGGAAGACCGAAGTCTACCCACCCTCAACAGTACCAGGTCATTTATGGGGTTTCGCCTACCTTCTGAGTTCATTAAGATATAATCACATGCCGAAATAGATCATGAAATCAATAAGATCGCATGAATTTTTGAGTCTGTTTCAAATATAAGGAAGAGATAACTTAAGAGAAAGAACATACATATGCTTAGGGGATTGAAAAATACTCAACTTTTCAAACACAAAAGGTAGACAAATTTACTTCATTATGATTTAGTTTCGGTTGTCATTTAAAACATTTTAACTACATCACACACGTAAACTAAACCCTTCTACACGGCTCTTTTAATTGATAAACGACAACTTTCCTCCAGTATATTAAGATCACATCCATAAAAAGAAGGCTATTTAGAAAAATTTAAAGTCATCTAAGTCAATGATGACTGACCTCATCCACTCATATGCCTTCTTTACAAACCTCAATACATAGTCTTAACATTGCCCTAATTGTTACGATTACTAATAGCTGCATGAATACCGATCGTTAGCAATGAAAGATCGACAAGTTAATCGATTTTCATTGACCTTATGCGATAATGAAGACCACTCAATGTCATTAGCTAAATGTATATTCCAACCAAAAAGACAATAACACATGGGAACAGACCAGCAAGTATACCGAATCAGCTCAAATCAGCGAATGTTTATACAAAAAGGAGACTAATTTATTACATGTTACACAACGATTAGCTATAGTTGACACCAATTTCCAGACTTGCTTTTAACCACATTTAATAACATTATAGTTCTACCATATGAGTGTTTCTATGTAGACGACTCACCAAGTGAGCTTCAACACAGAACTCTGCACAGAAGTGCACTAGTTCACGTTGCCACACTCTATTCAGCAAACAAAGGTGGAAAGAGATTCAAAAAAACAAACTAAAATGGGCAGAAAGGTAGGGAAGGAAGAAGATTAACACGGAAAAACATGAGAATTGAATGGATCTCAGAGATTACAAAGAATGGATGCAAATGTTCCCCGGTTTACTTTGATCCCACTTCTGGTAAGAAATAATACACGGATAAGAGTAGACTAGAAGAGAAGCACCTTTAGAAGAATAGAAACACATAGAGTCTCATTAAAAAAAAACACTACAGAATTCAAACTCGTAATTGACAGCTATCCTGCACAAACAACCGAGACATTGTTAAAATTTTATTTCCAAAAAAACTGTAATCGTAGGTGAACCCCACATGGTCATTGCATAAAAACCGATTCACTAATATAAATTAGATCTTATGCCTTTTTCTGTAAGAGAAGCACAACAGTGGCTTACGTTTTCAAATTGTATTTCCATACCTTTAAAACGTATCCAAAGTCTTTTTACTAGAAACGGCAATCGTTGGATTTGTAAGTAATGAAACAATTTCACTCTCAGATGTTTTGAATTACAAAAGCATTTTCGTGATCATAATCTCGTCCAAATCAAACACAATTTGAGTAGGATGCTTTATGATTGACTAGTAACTGGAGTTCATTTCGAATTTCCACTTTGTCTGATGATAGATCGTTAGCTGTCCACCAAATTTGAAAGTATTGATGCAAGTCAACCAAAATGTTTCTCGAATGCTGCATTCAGCATTTTGATTATACTGAAAATTTGGTTTTACGGACACTAAGGCATCCTCTACTTATGGCTCTGTAGTGATAGAGTTTCTGGTACTTGCAGTATTAGTCTGCATCACGAATGCAAGTTGTGAATAGCACGTCTACTGTACGCCAAGAATGCATAAGGGCTTTGCTATCCAGTATACATACTTTTTATATATTGGCCTATAAATTACAACTGATACGAGTGCTTACTATGCCGTTTGGTTGCTTAGACGGAATAAGATTTGAACATGAAACATCCATTCGCAATTCAATCCTCAGTAACACCAAGAGATTGAAACCAATGCCATTTAATAACGTGCAAGTTTGTAGACCTAGATACTCAACTACCAACCAGAAGTGTGCAGGAACACGCCAAGTAATAATGGGACTAAATAACAAGCATCAGGAAAGGGAAATGAGTCGATTGGTGAGGTTTTAAATTTCCACCAACTCAGGTGACTAGAAAATGTATTTTGTATGCCAAACCACAACATTTCTCGTGGAACAAGTTCAGCTGAAATAGGATTAGGTTTGAAAAGACATGGAATAGTATACGTACAAACGCAAGTAACTAACAGATATCACTCCCCCTTTTCTCTATCTCGTATATTGTAGCGCTATTACTTTTCTAGTCTTATTTTGCGCTTTGACAAAGCGTGATAACGCCAGTTGATGCACTTCTATGTACGGTTCTATGCTGATTTGTCTGAAGGTACATTTCTAAGCTATGGTGATCCTTCAACCAGTGATCTGTACACTATACTTCATCTATCAACAGTCACTCAGATGTAACTTGTGACGTAATAAAAAAAATAACAATAAATGCTGCAGCCAATGAACTTAATTAGGGATTTTTACAACCCGGTTGATAGAAATGCAGACTAGCAAAATGTCTACCTGCAAACACATCAATGTCTCTGACACAATTAAAAAAGGTTTAGTATACATGCTAACGATTTAGTAATTTAGGAAGGCAGTTAAGAAAATCGTACTTGGAGTACTCCAAATGTTGTCTATTTGTGTGTCTGTTTTCAACACAGAACTTTGCACCGATGTGCAGCAGTTCAAGTCGCCACACTATGTAGCACGCAAAGCAAGGGAAGAAAGACGAAATGCAAAATAGAGATAGTAAACAGAGACATGAGGCAAAAACAATAGTAATATCGAAGAACCATATAGTTATATTGGATATTATGAGTCACAAGGAGTGGATGCATCTGCGCCAGCCATTGAGAACGATTTCGAACCATATTACTGATTGTCTCCAGCCATTAGTTTTTACCGTCCCGAGGATCCCAACCAGGAAGTCTACACCTTCCTACGTGGCTTAAGCTAACTGTTGTGGGTTTGATTGACTGGTGCCACTTCTTCGTTTGACCGCCGCTAGCCCTTTTCCAGCCTGACCCTATGTCAGCTAACACTGCCCGTCGAGGAAGATGATATGCCCTTGTGTAGACATTTTGCCCTACGGTACTTTCAACAAACATTTGGCCATCAATTTACTGAATAAAGCACTATCATTAACGGCTAAGTAGCTCAGGCATACAAGCGGCCAACAATTTCAGGTGAACAAATTTTTATTTGATTCTTTCATTCACAACTAAGAAATGAAAACAGTCTTATGGATTGAATGAGTACTCCTATTAGGAGGACCAAAAAATACAAACTATGGGAAGACTGAAAACGCATATCAAAACAATCGGTAGGCAGCCAGAGAACTGTCCGAAGAGATATCAGTTGTAATGAATTATGACAAGCCGATAGTCAGATAATTTGTTAGTAACGCTTGACATATTTTCTTTCCAAAATTATTCTGAAAGTTATGAGTCTATTTTTTATTTTTGATTACAGCTTGATTCCACACCGTATTTCTTGATACAGGTATGGAATTTTCAGCATGTGATATCGGTAGCCCAAATTTTGCAGGCCGACCATAGATATCAGGTGTGCGTCGGCAGGGGATCGAACCCCGGACCATGTGCATGGTCGGCGAGAGTCCTAACCACTGTGCCAACGACGCTTAAGGCTTATCTACCGATTATATTACCTGATAAATTCACATCCGCTCCGTAAAAATTTTCAACAAGCAAAAGTAGCAACAAGTAGATAACCTTAAAAACTAGCGCTTTTACTCAGAAACTTTACTATTAAGTCAATGAATGCATCTTTATAAATGTTAGTAAATGGATAACTCAGTCATGCAGCCTACAAAAAATTGTTGGCTTAATTCAGTTGGAGTTAGAGAATACGTTGTGCTACAAAATTAATCTAGTTTAGGTTGCAACCTCTTTCATAACACACATCCCAGCAAAAAGAACGAAATGACATGACACAGAAGCAGCACTGATGCTAACATTATAAAACTAACATTTTTGGTATGGTTGTGTTCTCTGAGCTGGATATCCAGTTAAAATCCTCCACCTGAGCTACAAATCTTCTCTATCATATCTAAAGCTAACATTGTTCTGCAGTGAAATCAAACTACCAACATATCACTCAGATATTATTAAATACCAAATGTCGACATAAAACAGGCTAGAAATAACAACAAGAGTTACAGAATAATGAAAATAAAACAGGAAAAACACCTCAGCATGATTCATGAAATAACAACGAGTACTTAATGTGTGAAGGTTAGGCACAATACGTGGTCACTCAAACCTCAACAAGAATGACCTTACACTGTCTGACAAATAAAAACGGATCTTTGCACAGATATGTATTGGTTCAGTTTCTCACACTTCTGAAAAGTACACAAGATTACGGAACAGAAGTGCTACTACACGACAATAAACACGCAATAGGATAAAGATTCAAAAATCAGCTGCGTTTTGAAAAATTCTAGCCATCATTGATTTTTAAAACTCCAAAGAACTTAACCATGTAGCCTGTACATTAGGGTGGTATACGTCAGGTAAACCCAATGTCTCCATTTTTATCTGATTGCATAATAGACTTATTAGTGGATGTTACCCTTACAGGCTTTAGAGACTTAAGGACTGACTGGTTACCAGGAAACAATTTTGTCGATTTAGAGTAGGTAGGTAAAGCAAAATGTATACTTCTGAAAACCATGAGCAGAAATCTTGATAAGCTGGCATGTGATTCCCCCTGTCACAATTAAGACGATGCTGCAGGATGGATCTACACCAAATCCTAGCTTAAGGATAGGAAGTGAGGTGATGGAATGTGTTGACCACTTACTTGAGAAGTTGCATAAATCCTAATGAACTGTTTGCTGACGAAATCTCAGTAAAACGAAAAAGGTCACAGTGTCACTTGCCGACTCACGTCATCTCTGGTGTAGATGTGGCATAAATCGAGGGACTCATGCACCGCGCAGCAATCCGTTCCGTCTTTATTATTATTATTATATCCTTTAATTCCTAGAGGAACATAGGGCTTCAGCCGTGCGTCTCCATTGCGTTCGGTTCTCTGCTAGAGTCTTCACCTGGCTCCATGTCTGCCCACACGTTTTGATCTCCTCTTCACATCACCTCCTCCAAGTCACCCTTGCACTGACGACCAACTCGCCGCTTCCCTTTCGGGTTCCACTCGAGCAATGGCCTGTCTAGTGATGTCACTTGATGGATTGTTTCCTCAGAGTATGGCCAGCCAATCCATCTCCATTTCTTCCTGCATATTTGTTTCACAATAGGTTCCTGGTTGGTTCGCTCATTGCCATAGATCTCTGTTGCTGGTCTTTTCTGGCCAGCTATCTGATCTTGAGTATTGAGCGAAGACAACTGTTAATGAAAGTCTGTAGTTTGTTGGAGATGCTCTTTATGACGCGCCAAGTCTCTGATCCGTATATTGAGTAGCACTGACTTCACATTGGAGTTGGAAATCCGGATCTTATTTTTCATTTTCATGCTGAGTGCTGTTGACCTCCACACAGACTTGAGAGTAGTGAAAGCTTGTCTTGCTTTTCCGATTCTTGCTTTGATATCCTCGTCAGTTCCGTTAGCCTGTAGTTGAAACGATGCTTCCCAGGTAGGTAAAAGAGGTTGTTTTTTTCAGGTAACTGAAAGTAAAAGATATGAAGAGACATGTCTATGTTCTGTTCCTTATGCTAAGTGGTGAGCGATATTGAGGCTGTGTAATGTTAGATAAGGAGTAAAGTTAAACTACGGGGTCGTGAAGTTGCATTAATTAAGATGGCTAGGACACGCATGTCAAGCCATCGCCTTCCTCATCGAGCAGTGTTAGGAATAGGTTGGAAAAGAACTGCTGACAGTCAAATCAAAAACCGGCAAAAATCCATAGTGTTTGACAGCTGGTGTCAGTGGCTCAGGGAGGTGTAGACTATCTGGCTAGGGTCCTAGAGATGCTAAGATCCAATGGCTGGAGACTGTTGGTGGCATGGAATTCAAGCTAGCTGGTCATTCGTACAGACCTAGCTTCAGTTAACTTTACTGTAAACGAGTTTTTTGTAGCAGATTGAGTGGACAGCCATGAGCTACCATTGACACTATCTAGGCATCACAATATAGTAGACTAATAAGTTCGCAAGACTTTATAGGTGACAGGCTGACGTGACGATTTCATAGTGTGAACCTGCTACTGAGGATTGGTAGAGGAAACTAGAAGGCAACACATGTACTGAACAACCGAATGCTGCTTTACTGGCTTCCGAGGAAAGAAATGTTGGCTCAAGTAAGATTAGGCAAACATCAAGACAAGATATTAACTTACATAACGATTGATATGAAGCATTACAAGGAGGTGCAGGTTATTTTGTTGCCGGCGGGCTAAGAATAAACTTCTGGAAACTTTTGGGAACTAGGTTCTTTGAAATTGAACCTTCTCCTAATTACCTCTATCCATATCTACCCCGCATTTTTACGCATGAGGATTAAAACTACGGCAGTCCTGTGGAGTATTCAATTGTGTGGTGATTATAGACTAGTAAGCTTTCCACAACATGGACGATTTTTTGTTATTTGAAAAGATTATTAGCCTAGATAACCGACTGAGTTTCAACATGCAACTTTATGATTAGTTTGAAGGTATTAGAAATTAAGAAACCATGGTGTGACACTGGTTCACGACAATGAGATACAACTGAACTTCCTGGGAACATTGGAGTAAAATAATATGCAATTCAGGGAATATTTTGCTAACAGCTCCGAGGTCATCTGAACTGTAACAAGCTGTATAGCTGTAGAAACCTTGAAATTATGGTTCCACCTCAAATCAAGTCAATTAATTAATCATTTATCACACACGAAATTTGCAAAGAAACTCGTTTTCACACCTAACGTGAGGTACACATACCTTATTCAAGTAGAGAATTGGGCCAAAGGTCTTTAAAACTAATTTTGAGCACTGGAATTTGATCGAATGATTACGAATTGCTACTTAACTAAGTCGAAAAACTATGCAGCGACAAGGATTGGTCTTAGGTGAATATATGTACAAATATGTCATAACAGTAGAAGTATATCAAGATTGCAGCTCAAGACCAAAACAATAGTGAGTTATTGATAAAGTGCGATGACTAAACCTAATAGTCCTACAGTCACCCCACATCAAACTAGAACATTTGCACCATAACACTGCACAAGTTTTTTAAAATGTTAAAACAAACTACACGTGGTTATTTAGTCAACAAAATGGAACCAGGATATTTTTGGGTTCTACAAAACAATAGGCCAGGTTACTTCGAGATTCCCGTTGTAGAACCCCGTCAGTTAACTCCATTTCTATTTACTAATTGCCTTCCATCTCTTTTTTTCTACCTTTGGGTGGACTCTGAGCACACCTGTTCACTGACAACCAAGTTCACTTCAATATACGAATCATAACGACGAGCATCTAACAACTGTGTAACTAATGTATGCACCAAAACTTCTCAATAACTCATTAAGAATTTAACATTTATGAAACTTTTCATTTAAATATTTCAGTGTGTGCTTCGACATGATATCTCTCATCTTACTACTTATCAAACAAAGAAACCTCGCATAGCTAACCTTCACGAGATATAACAGAGGGTCACTATCTACTAGACCTTCAGCGATCCCTCATGATTTCCTAATTACTATTAAAAATTTGATTATTTCAGAAACTACAATATCACAATATACTCACATCTGTGAGCACATGATATTAATACCATACATCAAATAATTTGTAATGCTGACTTACTTCCAGAAATGATCATGCTTTGTAAAAAGTAAATTATTATTGTTAAAATATATCCGACACATCCATTACTGTGATGTCTGTAAATATCCACGTTGTAAAGGAAAAAAAACAAAATCCCCTAATGGCTCTGTTTTTTGAAACAACAAGTTAATAGGCCAAGTAACCAGTAAAACAAAAAGAGGACAAAACTAGTATTCTATTCGATTTCCATGAATATTGTCTGCCACAATAATAATTTCACATAATGTGCCTCAAACGTATCAATATTCCTCATAGTCATAAGCAACTGATTATCTCTGGACAGATTACACTAGACACTGTTCAATCTAAAAGATTCAAATGACACTGATTTTAGGCTGAATGATAAGATTCCTTGTTTGTTTGATTCAATAATTATCCAACCCTGCTTCCTTACGTATTGTTTTCTCATGGTTATGCACTCCTTAAGTCTCAGAAAATAACGCTATAACTTCAAAGCCTGTTAAACTGGACCGAGAAATACCTCGTAGGTTGTAAATAGATGATCTGAATTACTAGTATGCAGTGGTATACCACAGTGGTATGCTGTCCTCAGTCTCTTCTAATTTATACTACATATCGACGAGTTACCTCAGTCCATCCAGTCTTTCATCATTGTTCACGTAGATGATCTAAAAATTTGGAAAGGGTCTAAGGATGACACTCACATGCTAACGTTTCAACGAGATCTCAGAAAACTATTAGGTTGGTCGTAAGAATGGGTTCTACTGAAAAACATTTTGAAGTATACAACCATGTGCGTAGGAAGCGCAAGTGTCAGTGTATATGGTATAGGAGGATTACCACTCCCACCGGTTGAGATAAAGGTTGGTCTGACAGATAACCAAAATACGGATGCACAGTGTCGCCCAGTGACACTTCAGTTTTAGATTGACGCTTGACCAGGCTACATATGCTAACAGACTTCGAATGCAAACGGCTAATTTAAGGGTGATTCATCACCACAACAATTCAGATAGTTTTGCATACCCAAGAAATTGGACTCCTGATATCACACATTGATAAGATGTGATTAAAACATAACTGCCCACTAGTCCAATGTGAGAAGAAAAATTCATGATCACTGCAAGGATCAAGAAGAACCTTGTGATCCAGAACTTCCCCATCTATACAACAACCCTACTTACGTGGTTATATGAAGATTCCCAAAAGTGACAGTTAACAGCGGAGACGGCTGGTAGGCGGGTTAAACGTGCTCAAGCTATGACTCCCAGAGGGGATTCTGGAAAAGGTACGGAGTGAATGATATTACAATGGTATTTTTATTCCTTTGAGACATAGGGATGGCTTCAACAACACGTCCCCACTATCTTCTATTTCCTGACGTCCTCTTCAGCTGGCTAGCCACACAATTGTCCATAACCTCTCATCTCCTCCTCTCCTCATGATCTCCTTCATGTCAACCCCGCACCAACGACCCAATCATCGCTTCGTACTGGGATTCCACTTGAGCAATTACCCACACTGGGTGCGATGTCATTTGACGGCCTCCTTAGCGCTTGCCCGATCTATGTCCATTTTCTCCTACATACTTGTTGAGCAGTCGGCTCTTGATTGGTTAATTCCACTACAGAATATATTGTTAATAATTCTTTCTGGCCGGCCATTTGATCTTCCATATGGAGCTGAAGAGGGCAGTTGTGGATAAAAGTCTGTAACTTATGAGAGGTCCTTTCCGTGACGCTCAATGCAAGTTTCTGGCCCGTATAGAAGAACTGACTTCACATTTGTGTTGATAATCCGAATCTTGTTGTTTATGCTGGGGCTCGGTGCAGAAAATTTCCATACTGGTTTCAGGCTGCTGAACGCGTATCTTGCCTTCCCGATTCTGGCTGGCTGGCTATGACATCTTCATCCATTCCACCTGTGGCTGAAATGACGCTTCCTAAATAAGTGAATGAGGCAACCTCTATTAAATCTCCCCAGTTGATGGTGATTGGTGCTGGTTGTTGTTGTTCTGTTGGTTGTTTGGTTATCTTCATCACCTCTGTCTTCTCTGTGTTCAACAAGAGTCCTGTTTTTGGTGCCCGCCTTTTCAGCCAGTTTCATGGTTTTCGCCTGTAAGTCTTCGAGTTTATGTGACATTAAACATATGCTAAATCCCGATCTTCTGGAGTATTCTTATCGGTGTTCCAACATATTCCTGTCTTCGCACTCCCTATGTACAGTATGAAGCATAATCCAGTTGACCACAGTTATGAATATCATCGGTGATAATAAGCAGGAAATCTTGTCGTACTCCTGTATTCACTTCAAAGCGAGATTTCTCTGAGTTTTCCGTTGTGGATCACCTGACACGTGTGATTGTCATATTGCCAGCTGTTGAATGAGGTTGACGAAGAACTTGGCACTTCATGCCGCAGTGTCGAAGCAGTTTGCAGATTACTTTTCGGTCAACACTGTCTGTCGAAGGCCCTTCTAAAGTAGATGGAGTTGAGGTAGAGGTTCGGCTGCCATTCTGTTCTAGGCTGTGCTCGATGACGATGCGCAGAGTTGTAATTTGATCAGCACGCGGTTTGGTACTCCTGAGTCCAGCTTGTTCTGGTCGGTGGGGCGGGGTTCTGCATACATTGCATCTTTTATTCTCCCTGGTATGACGCGACTTGGTGTTTTACTTGGCGTGCACAGGAGCACTATTCCGCGCCAATTCTTTCAGAATGAGGCGAAGATCGCCCTTTGGCAGCTTTACGGGGTAGCCATTCTTCCAGTCAGCAGGAACCTTCTCTTCTTTCCAAAACTTTCTCAAAGATAGTACGAGAACATCTGCTGCAGTCTCTGGGTCCGTTTTTGGTACTTTGGGTTGGGGGGATTTCGTCTGGCCCTGCTGCCTGCCTGCCAGGCGTTCAGTAGATTGATCTCATCTAGTATTTTTGCTTTTGTTGGAGGATCGGTGTCCACTCGTAGGCAGTTCCGTGCTTGCTGTTGATGGTATTTCTGGGCGAATTGCAGGTGATGGTCGATGCAAGAGTCCATCGAAGTGATCAGCCCACTGTCTTATTTGTTTCTCCACCTTAGCGATCAGGTTCCCTTGAACATCTTTTATTGGTTTCATCATCTGGGTTGATCTCTTCCTGGATAGCGGGCAGCCCGGTTGTCTGATATAATGTTGTGAAGTCTCTTTTACCTGTGGCTTTCCTATTCTGCTTCAGTTGGTGTCAGCTAGTGTTGTGGTGAGAGCTGTCTACTAGCCAAATTGGTAGACAGTAATTTACGTCAATATTTACGTTCCCAAGATTTGTCGCGAGAAACAACCAATCGGAAGACTGTGTTTGTTTGTTTACGTATCCATAGTAATGTACATGAAAACATATATAAATATGCCTTGATTTCCTTAATAAATGATCTGTTGCCTGACTCTTGCCTTCTGTCGTTACAGTGTGTCGTAGAATTGTCTTTTGTCTTTCCTGGCACCCTTTACTTCTTCATTCAGTGCACTGTACATTGAACTCAGCTTCTCCTTCTTTTGTGCATCTTTGCATTAAGTCATCTTCTCTTTCACGACCCTCCTCTCCTTGATTAGCTTCCAGGTAGGTGTCCGTTGAGAGCCATTCCTTTTCTTGTCTTTTCCTTCCCCCTAGAACAGTTGTGCACTTTTCCTTAAATATCGCTTTTAGAGATTTCCAACGTTCTTACACACAGGTTTCCTCAGTGATACCACGTAGTGTGTCCAACTTCGCTCTGATCTGATCTGTAGTGAAGGCAACCTTTGTAGTTTTCTCGTTCAGTTTCTGAATGTTGAAAGTGAATTACAGTGGCCAGTTTCCAGTCATTTTGAAAGAATTCAGCTTCACCTTGAAGGCTCCCTCAGCTAGATAGTGATAATAACAATAATAATATATTCTCACTTTACGCACATGAGGGACTCCAGTTGACAGGCATCATCAATATGATAATAATGTACACATGGAGTAAGCATGTTTAAAATTTTTCATTAACACAAGATATATATACAAGGGAAGATAATGGAATATTGACAGTAAGCACACTCTGCATAAGTTAAAACAATTTATATGATATAATCCTTGGCAACGTTATTGTTTGAATTTGTTGAAAATGAGCGTAACAACTGAGTGTTGCGTTACATTTGGTCAGTATGGTGGGCTACTCACAAAAGTATAAAAATGGGTCATAAAACGTTAGTTAGTTTACTGTAAACGATGTTTTAAGCAATATAACCTGCAAGATGATAGTCTGAGTCCACATCCGCTCCCTCTCTCGACTTCGTATCCATCAGGCTGAGTCTCCACTTTCTTGAGCAACATTGAGATGAGGTTCATTTGGTTTTTGGTGAGTCCCACCGTCGAAATCCATGTTGCTTTGTGCCCATCCTTGTACTTGTACACGCTGCGTCCGATCACCAAATCACTGGGAGCTCAGAAATCTGTGAACGGTTCTCCATTCTCATTCGTTTCGCTGAGAGCCTCTCGACCTATGGTGAGTTCTTTTCCTGTATTGTCTGCTCCCAATTTAGCATTCATACCTGCATAAGGATTTTTGTCGCCATTGGGGATGCTGTCCATTACTGATTGTAGTTATCTGTAAAAGTCTTCCGTTTTCTCTTGTTCCGCGCTGTTTGTGGCACTGTGCGTAGCATGGGATAACTGTGATCTCCCTTCCTGCCTACTGAGTTGAATCTGGCTGTCATGATCCTGGATGAAATTGGTTTCCACTGCATTAGGGCTTCGGCTGCCACTGGTTGCCAAATATTTATAGCCACTCACTGCATCAGTGTGAGTTGGGGCTTTTGTCTGGATGACCTCGGTGGATTACTGACTTACCAGTTGACAATTTTGATAATCTACATCCATTCCATGTGCGTCGGTAACACAGCGGTTAGAACGCTCACCGACCATGCACGTGGTGCGGGGTTCGATCCCCGGCCGACGCACTCCTTTACCTCGCTGAGCCAGAAATAAAGCTGGTAAACAGGAAAGTTTGTGTATGAGACTATCAACCCCATCCCGTAAAAAACTCTGCTACGGGAAATTCAAGCCTCTAACTTGAAGGTGTCCCATGTTCCACTGGAAATGTGAAGGAATTAATAATATAATAATAATATATCCATTACATCTGCCCTCGCAGATACCCAGCAGTTCTAGGCCGTATGTTGGCACTTCTTTGGCTACCT